AACAATTCCTGGTAGTTTTCAAAAGTAACAGGAAAACAAACAAATAGTTAAGGAAAACCCGGAATTTTTATGCACAACCATTTTTCGAAAGAATTAATTTTGGTTTTTAGATTAACTCTACCAAAATGACAGTAGATACATGAAATGTTCAGTGAATATTGGTGTAATCATTTTCTATACACCGTACAATTTCATCAAAATATTTTGATTTGTGTTGAACTATTTATAGGCATATTATTATCGTATATTATTTGTTTTTTTTAAACTCAACTCGATAAAAAAATTTTCGCTCTGTAAAAACACTTGGAAATGCAATACAAGGTTCCAAGTAAGTTGTTGATAATGGAAATAAAAAAAAAATTGAGCTTAAATACACAATTATTTTTTATGAACGTTTAAACTTAGAATTTTGGCAAAATTCGTAAAATCACGAAAATGTATGTTTAGTTAGAAATGCATAAAAAAGGTTCTATTTATGTATCTAAGGTTTAAAAATGTAATACAAGATTCCTTACCAGTTTTTCAAAACAAAAAAAATTTCTACCGGAAAGTTGAATTATATTTATAGGCATGCAATTTTTGATTATTTTTAGTTTTTTCCGATTAATGTCTATACAAACAATAAAAAATAAATTATGGTGAGCTCGGTCAAAAACTTGAAAATATGAAACAAGACTGCTCATAAGTTGTTGTTAATGATTTTCAAAAAAAAGATGAGCATAAGTCCACAGTAATTTTTTAGGAGCTTCTAAATTTCAAATTTTGACATAATACGTAAATATCACTCACATTTGCAAAATTATTTCAAGCTAGAAATTCATAAACATTTTTCTTTTCACATCTGAGATTTGAAAACTTAATGCAAGTAGCCTCATTAATTTGTCTTACTTTATCAAGCAAAAATTCTACTAGAAACTCAAATTACATTTTTATGAGCTTTTGAAGTTGACAAATTTTATAACATTGGATATTCGCTCGATTTCTCTTGTAGCGATTTTCTTATTTTATTGTAATTCAAAAACAAATTACTGTAGATAATTGAAATTAACACACTATATTTATTTCATCAATTCATATACTTGATAACATTTTCAAAATATATTGACTCATTTTAAGCTGTTGACGAACATTTTCAGATTTCATTTTTTTTTCATATTTTTTCTATAAATATAATACAATTTTATTGGTTGGGTCAAAAAGCTTGAACATTTAATACAAGACTCTTGATAACTTGTTATAATATCAGTTGAAAAATATTAAAAATACATAGGCACCATATTTTTCACGCTAGTGTGTCAAGAATAACCGTGATGTATGTGGTGTGTCCCCAAACAATTATTTATTTTTATTGTACCTACTTGAACAACTTATAAATATAGGTCATTATTATGATTATTATTCTACAGTTACAAAGGAACCATTTTTTAATACTCATTTAAAGTTCAAATGTTGACAAAGTTCATCAAAATTCTGAATAATAATAAATATTAAATAATTGGAAATTATGTGTTTTTTTTTGTGCATGTCCAGTGACCAGTGCATATATTTCAATGTGTATGTTGTAAACTTGCAGATACCCTTTCTTAACAGTACACGTTACAATGCACATAATATGTATTATTTTTACAGGACCAAATCACATAACACTATAACAGTGTGCAAACAAATATCTTTGATTTTAAAGTTATATGGTAATGGTATATGGTAGTGAAAGGGTTAAAACTTGATACAGTGTTTAATTTGTATAGTTTAAGATTGAAAATTTATAGCAAGGTGAGACACCTTATTAGTGTACCACCCAACAAATCTAAAAAATATATTTTTATAGAAATATGAAGTTACAATTTGGACGAAATTACCGTAATTAGATATGTAAATAATGATGATAACAGTTTAAGTTATTTTGTTGAATTTAAAAATATTATTTATTGGCAAGTACTTGAAACTTTCAAAGTACATTTTTAATTACTATATTTTAATTCAAGGCTGAGCAAGTTAATGATTTTTTTATAACTCAGTTAAGTCATTTAAGTTAAACTAATATGCATCAATAAGGACAAGAATATCACTTAAAGGTTATTTAATTGTTGGTTAACTCTACAGATAAGTTAATACACAGTGCTTATATTTTATAAAATATTTTCATTTTTCATATGTATAAATGTATTATTTCGTTGAAGTTTTTTGTTTCTAAAAGAAAAAAACAATAGTTACCTATGTAATAAAACAAATTAGATTGGAAAAATATAAAATATTTAGCTTTAAACAATTTAAGGTAAATATGTGTGAACATGAAAATGAAATAGACTGAAATAGTGAAATGTAAATAAACATACAATTAAAAACAAAATAAATTAACTTAACTTACTTCTTAAAATGAAAAATTAATTCGTTAATTTCAAAATAAATTTAATAAGTTAATATTTAAGTTAATGAAAATTCAAAAGTAACTAATTAACTTTATTTCAACTTTTTAACTCGTTAATGCCCAGCCTTGTACATTATACACATAATGACATTTTCTAATACAGTTGTATATCAACTTGAAAAGGTAAACGATAATATACAAAATACATGGATTCAATTTTTTTTTATAAGCATTAGAAGTTTAAATTTTGACAATATTTATCAAATTGAAAATTGAAAATTATTTTGTAGTTAAAAATGTATAAAAATTTCAATTTTTATGGCTAAGGATTGAACATTTTGAAGACAAGGTTCCACTGAAGCAGTTTTGTGATTAATGTTAGTACCTTTAAGTTTAATAATAGGTTAATTCACTTTATAAATTAAGCTAACAACACACAATTGGTTCTACTGAAGTCAAATTTGATATATTTTACATTTTGTAGGACGGAAACAACACAGATAGGTACCTAAGAATATTATCATCTTAGGAGATTACAGCACCAACACCTCTTTTTAAACAATAGTGTTTTTTGTGATTGGAAATTACCTAACATGTTTGAATGGGATTGTAATTTTTGATGGAAATGTATATAAGTAGTTATATTTATTTCAATCCCTAATTAAATTCAGAAAAAGTGCATTCAGCACTTTGAGAGTCTATAATTTAGTATTTATATTTTACAATACATACAACACTGCAGCCAACAATATGGTATTACCTGGTATTTTCAAAACATACAATTCTCAATTTGGAGTAGTTAGCCACAGTCTACACACATCAAGGTTAGGTTATATTCATCATCATATTATAATGATTATTAAGAACACCCAGCAAGTATTAAGATATTTGTTTTCAATACTCAATGATACATATAATGACACGCACATTAGCATCCTAACAATGATACAGATTCAATGGAATTTTTTTTGTATCATTACTTGAAGGAGGTTCACAATCAAGTTGGATACAGTTTTTAATGTAATAGCTTCTGGCCTAAAATTAAATTGGTGAAGTGACAAAAAAATCTGTGCTAGGTGCACATAGCACATATTAACTACAAATTGTCCGTTTTATTTGGTGGTAGAGATATACAAGTGAATTATTTGTCAGACACTGCAATCTGGTAGCAAATCCATTCTAAATTAAAAGGTAAGAAGTAAAAGCATACTTTTTAAGCTTGATTGTAAAAAAATAAATAATTTCATTTGTTCCCCCTGTGTTCAAGGCAAGTTATATAATGTAAGTATATATTTAAATAAATTACGGATTTAGATACATAAAAATATTTTTTGCAAAACATAACGACCTAAAGAGGTTTACCATACCTGCATGTGTTGTTTGTCTTCGTCTTACAAACGTACAATATAAAACTGTTTGATAGGGATAACACATAGGGATAGAACCACTCAGGCTGTAGTCCAAGCTAAACAACCAACTTTTCATGCTATTAAGAGAACATATTTTATTGTGCAACATAATTTTTATTTTTTCGATATCACAAATACAGGGAAAGTTTTACTGTATAACAATTCATTACTTCAAGCTTGAATAATTTTTTTTTGTGCTTGTGATATTGAAAAAATAAAAACGACGTTCAGAGTAAATAATTTCCCCTTTATAATATGAGAATTTGGTTGCTTTTCTTGGACTATAGCTTGAGTGGTTCTATCGCAAAACAGTTTTCGGTATATTAGTAAGACGGGGACAACACGTGCAGGTGTGGCGTCTCCCTAATAACCATTTTCATATTCATTATGTGTAGCCTGTTGATGAGATTATATATCCAAGATAATTAACACTCAAATAGTCAAATGGAACAAAATAGTTGATATCTAGCTGTTGAATTTTGTTTCAAATTACACTAAATAAACATAACAATATATTATAAACATAAATCATAGGATGTTGAGTTATTAATAAAAAGACAATTCATACACACAAAAATATTCCATTAAAAAAACATGTTCCTAACTATGACAAAATAAAAATGTCTATATAATTAAATAGATTATTAATAAATAGGTATGTATTGAAAATAAAACATTATTTTTTTTACTGTTCTTTTATGTAAATCAAAAAAGGCCTAAAAGAATTTTGTGTGATTCAAAATTACTTTTATATACAATGAAACCTGTCAATAAAAATAAAATGTCCAAATTAAAAATTGAAGATCAAAGTGTCCGTTATAGACAGGCACATAGAATGGGACAGGTTTCACGGTACATACTAATTTTTTACTACAAATACCTCAACAATAAAGTTCATATTTATAATATAGTATTGATTGTCAATTTGAATAAAATTCACACAAAATAATTAACTGCCTTATGAAATTAAAAATTTTGAACGCTGTTATAAAATAACAACCTTAAATTACAATAAATAAACTACAAAACAGTTAAACATCAATTGTAGATTGAGGCATTCTTAAAAATGAAATAAGCTCAAATAAAAGTAATGTATGGATACTAAAAAAAAAAAAAAAAACAATTATGACAAAGTAAAAATATGTGTAAAATAAAAAATGTTTTGTTTCTAATTTAGTTTTAAACGCTAATTAATATATTTTGTACTAACCAGAAAGTTTTGTTTGATTAATTAATGATATTTTTTTATGCATAGGAATGAGAAATTAATTACTTTGATCATTAGAAACAAATTTGAGTTGAGATTCAAGAAACTTAATTGCTATTTGAGGACATCTATTGTAGACTTCAGTTGCTTCAAGCAGATCTGCAATTCGTGCATTTTTCCATGCCACCAAAAACATCAGTTTTTCATTTACTTTAGTTGCTCCAACAATACGATCTGGTTCAAGTCCACGAGCAAAACCAACTGCTTCATCATCCTCGTCATAATAATGAGGCTCGTTGCCCAAATCAATAGTTTCATGTTTAATTTCATGTTTGACTTCAACTCTGTAAAAATATTTTTTTAAATTTTTACCAAGTCTACAATAATCAATTTTAGGTTGTAAATCTTAGTTATTTGTTATAATTTATACTATTCATTCTTGATATTCTATATGTTTTTACCTACTATACCACTTCCATACACTTACTAAATACTAAATAGAAAGCAAAAACAAAACAAAACCTCAACTTTTACATAACAGGCTGGACTATACAAGATGTAACAAATAGAAATGACCGAAAAAAAAAATTATGGTACCTTAACGTAGGATAAAATTGTATAACATTATTTGACTAGTAAATAATTTAAGAGGACGTGATACCCGCATGTGTTGTCTCCGTCTTACAAGTGCGTAACATAGCAAATTGTACACTCAGCAGAACACGTGTAGCTCCATTCATTTAAAAATTAAAGTGAATTGACCTCTTATAAAATCTAAAGGTACGATTATTATCTAGGCAGCCTCATAGGTTTTTTATTATATTTTAATTTTAACGCGAGTTATAAGTATTTTCAATGTATAAAAAATTTACAATTTTAAAATACTCATAACTCGCGTTAAAATTAAAATATAATAAAAAACCTATGAGGCTGCCTAGATAATAATCGTACCTTTAGATTTTATAAGAGGTCAGTTTGCACTAATTTTTAAACTAACGGAGCTACACGTGTTCTGTTGAGCGTAAAATTTGTTATGTTACGCACTTGTAAGATAGAGACAACACATGCAGGTATCACGTCCTCTTAAGGAATATACTTGTGTCAGCAAATTTCCTAAAATAATATTTAGAAAAAAGTTATTACGTTCCAAATGAATTTAATCAAAAAAATATTGATATTTAAAAAAATCTAAAAGTTAACTACCTGACTTAAATAAATGTTTATACTATCAAAATTGTTCTTATAATCAGATTCACAAATTGGCTCTGAACTCATCCAAAAAAATGTAGTTAAATTTAAAATGTTTTATATTCAGTAATAAAAAATAAAAATAATTTTTTTTATATTAGGTATACATGTAAAGCAAGTGACTATAAATTGCATATGAAAAAAAAAATTTTAAATTTTGATTATAACAAAAGTTATTGCATTAGTCAGTTCTTTCTGTTGCACCTGTAGAAACTGTTTGGATTTTATATGGGGAGCCGGCTTGTGAGTATTGTTTTTGTGCGCTAGGCCAGGGATGGCAAATCCATGCCCGAGGTGGCACGCGAAAAGATTTTGTGGGTATGCGAAACTTTTAATTTTATATAATATATAATAATATTATAGGTAATAGGTAAAAAGCTTATTACTCGGCCATTTACGATTAACTAATGAATGCAGTGCCACGTGTTCAACAACAAAAATCAGATCAAAATAAATAATTAACAAAGCAATATTATTATAATTATTATTATTTATTATATATTATTATTATTATGCACCTAAACTAACCATTTTATACTAATACATTAATTATACAATCAAATTATAGTATAACAAAATATAATTTTTTTTTCATAGCACGCTCTAAAAAAAAAAGGTAATTTTGGGCACGCGGTGTTAAGATATTTTGAAGTTCCAGAACGCATTGTCGTTCCACTATGATTTTTCATGTCTCACTCAGTAGTCAGTACCATCAATTACTTGTCAAATGAGCATTTAGACATGTGTTATAAAATTCTAATACAGATCCGACCTTTCTTATTTGACCACTTACAATATCATTCAATGTTTGCTTTTGTTGTTATGTAATACTTTCATTTTTATATTTTTTATTTCTTTGTTTATTTATATTTTTGATTCTTTTGTAATTCAAATGTATAATATACCTGTTATTTATACTCGTTAATAGTAATAATAACCTAACCTAACCTAACCTCTACAAAAGGGGTCAGCAATGGTAGTTTCAAGTTTTGTTATAAGTAATAATAAAATATGTTATTTCTAAATGGTTTGGTACCTAGTTCTTTATTTATTTTGCAGAAGGTAAAAATATTTAATTGTATAAATAAATTACGATTATCAAGTCAATGGTAAATAACATAAAACAATTGTATTTGCTAATTAAAATTATATATCAATTAAAATAAAATGAATGTTACTAGGGCCACATATACTTAGCGCCTGTTATTGTATATAAAAAAATTTAACTTCTTTTGAGTTTTATCGTTAACACATTTACTTAACAAATCTTGATCTATTTTTTCTTTCTGAAGTCGCATTTTCGAAATTTTGTTTAGACATGATTAATAATCATCATATATATTATTTAATAAATTGAAACACAATTAGCAAAAAGCCTCAGTCACAATAGCCAATAAAAAAAGTAGAATAAAAAAATAACACCCGATAAAGTATTAAATAATAACATAGGACATAGAGTAAGAATAGGTAAATTATATTATCGTACTTGCTTATCTACTTTATAGTTTATAGTTATAAACTGTTTATTAGTGTTAACATAAGAGAAAATGATATTTTAGACATTCCCATTAATACTCATTTTTTTAAAAATAGAACAAATCGAATTTATTACGATACAAACAAACGTAGATAGTAGATACATCATACTTAGCTATCATTAACCAAAAAACTAATTATTATTATAATTGTTTATTTTTGTTATTCGAACATCGATTATGTTTATTTATATTTACATTTTTTACATAATTTAGTTTCAGCACAATAGTGCATATAACAAAATAGATATGTATTTATACGGGTATCGACGAGTTTATACAGAGGTTCCTAGGCCCTAATGAAGTTTACAAATATTACAAATAAGCATTAAGGGCCGCCAGGGCGCCAGCCAGTGTTATAAAAATTTACTTTTATATTACTATAATTATTTATTTTTTTAAATTTTTGGGGATGGGAGCCTCTGAGCATAATACCCAGTTAAAGTTAACGAACATTTAACCGGAGGAATTCTGCCAGTAATAAAATCTGTTATCAATCGGTTAGCGTTAGCCGACACTTAACCAGACATTGTAAGAACGGCTCTAAATATAATTAATAATACCTACAAAATGATAGACAATATTATTATCATACGATTATGTCAATCAATACTCAATTTATATAAAATTATAAGCTAACGTTATGAAGTCAACAACTACAACAGTCATTCTATAATATACTTTTATGACCATTATCATAGCTAATTCCAAATATCGGGAATCACTATCAATAGTAACTAAATAGCAGTATACTTTGCTAACATATCGATGTATCCCAAGCACGCGTGTGTTAACCATTGAACTATACATGATAACTGGAATGCTCACCAGCCAGTGGCGCAACTAGGGGGGGCTAGGGGGGGGGGGCTTAGCCCCCTGGCTATGGTTTAGCCCCCCAAAAATATCCTTTATTAATTTCAAATATTACACGTAACATTTTATTTTGTCACTTGAAAAAAAAGTCGTTTTTCTGATCAAAGTTTAGAGCTTGCTCAGTCCTTCGACAATTTTTTTCTGCTTGATTTAAAAGAAAGCAAATCATTCATTAACCATTTTAAAGTAAGAATACATCATCTTTCAATAAAATCTCTAAACAATGAATATTATGATTATATGCTTTAATTTATCTTCTTTTACTACTGTATTATAGGATCTGTTTCAAATTGATACTGATACATTAATTGCGGAAATGACTGTTGCAAAAAATGCTTTTCAAACTGTGTATCAAGATCAGGTATTAGGTGATCCAGAGCAAATGAAAAGTATCATAAGTGAAGCTACTTTTCCAAATCTATACAAACTTCTTGGTGTTGCCAATAAGTAGTGCAACTTGTGATGAGGCGAGTCAAAACATGATTACGGTCAACCACTCACCATGATACAAGAAAGGTTTTCAAATTTATCTATCATTCATATTGAGAGAGACATACAAACAATATTAACAGTGAAGACATTTTAAACGATTTTTGAAGTGCTAACAATAGAAAAATACCGTTAATATATTAAAATGTTACCTATGATAAAGTTGACTTGTTTTCTTTTTTCATACTCTCATATTAGAGGTAAACAAATTTAGTTATAATAATAATTAACATTACATTTTTAAGAAACTAGTAAGATACTAATTACTAGTGGTTGCTATAAAATGTTGAGTAGAGTATACCATTTTTATGATAGGCTTACATTACTCACGAAAGTGTCACATACATAAAAAAAAAAAATTGTTGTAAAGCCAATATTATGTTCTTCTCTTGGTCCAGAATCTAAAATTTGTTTTGATTGTATGTAGGGACTAGGGGGGGATGGCATCCTATGGGATATTTTAAGTTCATAGTTTTGTTAGGAGGGCTGTAGCCCCCCCCAGAATTTTAACCCTAGTTGCGCCTATGTCACCAGCCATAAGATCAATGTAAACATAACCGAGATAGGGTGTAAGAAAAAGACAGCAGGTAAGAATGGTATTGCTGTATCTTTTTATCACTCATACTTATATGAATTATGATTGTTCACCAATAAATTTTGAATAATATTGTTGCTTTCAACGTTTTGTTTTACGTTTTATACTCTAACTTAAAAAAATTAAAGTAGAGGATAGTTAAGATTTTAAGATGGTGAATGTTTGTTGTGGTTTCAGTTGTGCTAGCTCTAGTGATGTAAGGTAACCTGGTCATTTCACAAGTTAGCATAAAGAGTTAAATATTATAATTGATTTTACACATTGATCATTTGAAACAAATTTCCATATATTTGATTAATATTTTGAGCTATAAAAATTTAGCATTAGATTTATTAACAAGAGAAAATGAACCATTAATGTATTTCCTGTACTTTAAGAGTGCATACACAGTGTAAACAATTGAGACAACAAAAACAGGGTTCAAAGTCATCCCTTTGGCATAAATTAAACAAACTTATTTTATTTAATCATATTTTACCTGTGTTATATAATATTTGTAATATATGTTTAATGAGTTATTTTGTGTGTTATAATATATAACCAGTTTATATTTAATTAAACTTTCATATCTAATTAAAATTTTTTTTTTTAATATCATATTAGGACTTCAGCACTCTTGTTATTGAAAATTGTGCATGTTAAATACTTTTAATTGAGCTTGATTTATTATGTAATTAATATATATTTTCATTGTATCCTCTTATTTATACACTCATTTTTTTAAAAACTTATTTATCATAATAGAATATTATTAACTTGTAGTGTATACTTTTATTTTAATATTCTTTAATGGTTGTATGAATACTTCTCGATGTAATATATCAAAGTAATATATCAACTATCATATTTCACAATGGTTTTTTATGTAGTTGAATATTTTGATGGTTTATTTTAAATGAAATACCTTTTTTTAATATTAATTTGAGGAAAAATATCTTGCCGAAAACTACTCAAAGGTTATGAATATAAGTTAAAGTATCTATATCTACAGTGTCTCATAGTTTCTTTAAATAATTTTTTATTTTAGGAAATTTTGTCCATTAAGAATAACAAAAATGTATTGAAGATTTTGCTTACTGGATATTTCTTAGATTATAATTTATAAATCTACAGTATTAAGTTAAGTTAGGAGAGTAGTAAGTATAGTTAAGGTAAGTAGTAGTAGTCAGTAGATATAGCTTCGAGTATGTAGTGTTATGAATAATATTATCCACAGGAAAATCATGTTTCAATAATTGTTATATTATTATAAATTATAATTATCTACTAATAAACTATTTATTTATGGTTGAATTATTTATATTTTATTAAATTACTCAAAAATATTTTGTGGAAATTAAAGAAAAATTAAGAAATATAAAATTTAACTGAAATAATATCGCGGTAATTGAAAATAAGATATTACCGCCGTGTTCAAGACAAAGATAGCAACACCATTAGTATGTGCCATCTTGTTCTAACATTCTCTCTCGGGAAACACTGCTTGGTGAGCATTCCAGTTATCATATTATAGAGTTCAACAATGGTGTTTATCTACTACCCACATTATACACAATAACGATAATAAACACGAACACACTACGTGCCAAAAATGATTACTTATTATTATTATTATTAATATATTTTATTAAACATCGTCGTACCCTTCGGCGTTTTCAGGACTGTTGGCCTCAGAAGATTCCGGCTCGATCTTTGGCACCAATGGGGCGGTTTCGTCCGAAGGCAACGGTGATAGGCAGGCTGGGGGGGCAATGTCGTCCATCGGCGAATGTACGGGGCTAGCGTCTTCCTCTGGCGAAGATGAGGGTCTGGCGTCGTCCTTTGGTGGCTGTACTGGGCATGCGGCGGCTGCGGCATTGTCTTTTGGCGGCTGTTCTGCAGAGTAGTTGTCGGGACGGTTCACCGGGATAGCAATTTCCTGATCATCCGACATGGCGGCGTGTTCGTAGACGGTCTTTGTAATAGTGATGCCCACTTGTTTCCCACGTTATTTTTCGAGAGAGAAGTGGACGGCGCGGCGATGCTGTTCAAAACAAGACAGTCGTCCTAATGAGCACTGAGCAGTGAACAATAATTATTATGTACAATATTGTTGTAATTTTAAATAGTAATCGTGAACTGTTAGTATCGTCCGGTGTACGATGAGTGACGACGTAGTGCGGAGCAGGACGATATGAACGAGAGAGGGTCAACAACGAACGCCGAGTGCCTGCGCGTGAAATAAATGCCTGGCGAAGACGCAGGTGGTGGCGGCAATAATATTGTAGTGGGGCGCGCCGACCGAAAGAAAAATGTGGGTCAGTGACGAGGAGCGGGGACGAGAGGGCAATAAAGATAAAGAAAAACAGCGTTGCCAGACTTACAAGACGACGTAGCGCAAAGAGGGACGATACGAACGATAGAGGGTCAACAACGAATTCCGAGTGCCTGCGCGTGAAATAAATACCCGGCGAAGTCGTAGGTGGTGGTGACTATAATATTGTAGTGGGGCTCGCCGACTGCCAGAACATGGGTCGGCGACGAGGAGCTGGAACGAGAGAACAATAAAGATAAAGAAAAACTGTGTTGCCCGGGTGTATGGACATACATGGTATATACCGTGTGTTCACCAATTTAGGGAACACTGAATTTCTCGGCTGGATTATGTTGGAATAAATCGAATTTTATTTTACAAGCTTGTGGTATATAAATACACATTTTCAGATAAATTTCAAATGTTTAAACCCTTCGGTACGCGCATGCGCAATGCAGCTTATACTTTTTTTTTTAATAGCAACAGGTAGTTTTGATAACAAATTAGGATAGACTGAATTTTTTAAAGTCATTTTGACCAATTGACCATGGCTTTAAAACCAAAATTGACTGAATGAGAGCCATTCAAATTTCAATAAATAATACATTTTTTCGATTCACTTTAAAATGCATAAAACCATTTATAATTATTTATTATTGGTTACTTTTTGAATATCTTTAAGTATTTTTTTTTTTATACGTGTTATAAATAAGATTAACATAATATGGATATAAAATTATTTAATAGACATGTTAATCTTATTTATAACACGTATAAAAAAAAAAATACTTAAAGATATTCAAAAAGTAACCAATAATAAATAATAACCTAACCCAGCGAAGTTGCTGAAGTTGCTGCAGTGGTTATCAAGCGCGTGCGTGTGCCTTGAAAACTTGTAATGTATAATAATGTGCCATAAACCAAAAAAGCTAAAGAACCACTGCCCCGTAGAGGGTACAACTGGCCCTAATACAACCGTTTTTGGTCGACGAAATGGTGCACTGCTGCCGTCATCGACGCGCCTATTCACTGTAGTTTGTTTGCTGTTCTCATTGTGCCGACGGGTGGTAATAAACGTATAGATTGTCTATAGCCTGTTGGCTATACCGAATATCAAACGAATAAAAATGAAAACTCAGTGATGTAATCGTAAATTTGCTAGGCCCTCCAATCCCTCCATATACTACGTAGTTATTATTTTCATATTTATAATTACATACACATAATATAGATATAAGTACCCTCCCTCTGCAATCATACTCCAAAAAATGGTATTCGGAAAAAAACCTCGACTGTAGGAAAATAGAGACCCGGAAAAAATTACTTTTAATTGGTTTATTATACTTTGTTTAGTTTTTTTAATGACGTATTCTATTAGATGTAATTTTTTTCTTCATAATTAATTAATAAAATACCTAAATATAGTAATTATTATATTAAATTGTGTGCTAAATTTTCTCGAATATTCTACGGTTAATGAACATTAACCATATTTAGAACATTCGTTTATTGACTTACGTATAGATACAATCAAAATAACATGTATATATTACGTATAAAATCAGTAGGTATTAAATAAATATTCACAACTTATATTTTGATAGTATATAATTAGTATAGATTAAAATATTTAAGTCTTATATTTTTCGCATAAAAAAAGTATAGATACATTTTTACTCACCAAGCTTATTTTACTTGTATACAAATGACGTATTATAATAATTTATGAATACTTACTTACTAGCTGCCATCGGAAACTCGCTGTTGTGAAACTCGGGGGATTTTGAAACTCGATGATGGAGACAACAATGTCGTTGAAATAACTTATCCTACTACCTTATCTATATTCTATATTATAAACGCGAAAGTTTGTAAGTATGTTTGTTACTCTTTCAAGTAAAAACTACTGAATAGATTTTAATGAAACTTTACAATAATACAGCTTATACATCAGAATAACACATAGGCTACAATTTATAAAGATATATTGTGTGAATTTTTTAGTTTTAATTTTAATTTAAAAAAATATGTAAATTGTATACGTATACGTTTTTTATTAAGAAATAGTGGCTGGCTGAAAATAAATAACATTCAAACTTGACAACCACAGATGCTTTTAGGCAGGTCGGTATCGACGTGGAATAATAAACAATTATTATAATTATTTAGTTTAGCAAAAAAAAAAAAAAAATTAAAAAAAACCACCGTACTGAATTTTTCAGAAGTGTAGAAAAAGCACTTACTAAGAATTATGCCGTGAAAGAGTAAGCCTTATCTTACCAAAGCTCTAATAAAGCTCGAACTATGAAACTAGCTAGACTTAACGAGGCGTTTCCACAAGCCGAACTGCGAAGGCAGCTCATAGAGCTGCGAGACACCTGAGCAGTCTCAAGCTCGGCGTCATAATAACATAATAATATCGCAGTAATACAGTATATATAATAATATTATAGTTGGCGCTTTCAATGGGCAACGAAGTGCCCAGGATCAGCTAGTAGGTTATGAAAGTCGCTCCTGTGGACGTAATGTGAAAAACAAAAATTGAGGAGGTGATAAGGATTTTTGATAAGGCTCGGAGGTCTAGTTTCGAACGCGGGAGTGTTTGAAATTCCAGTTTCAATGTCTAGAAATTTCATATCATCCATGCAAATCAGCCATTGAATAATACGGTTTCCCAGCGCATGTCCTGTGCTTTTTCGTATGTAAAAAAATGTAAATTCGAAAGTCGTGTTCCAATGTCTAGCAAGTCAGTCACCTATAGTGAAAATCTATTTACATTCAAGTTAGCCAAATTGTTAATCAATCCGACTTCGACTATGTGCTACAACTGACTAGAGAAGTTAGAAAGAAAATGACGATTATAAAGCAAGTTAATTAGCATTAAATACAGCATTAAATTAAATAAATGTAAATATTGGATATAATAAATAAGAATCGATTTTATTATTGTTATCATTATTCTTGTTACAAAAATAAAATGGTAATATGGGTTTTATAAATCATAATACAATTTAAAAAAAAAAATAAACTTAATTTCACATTTTTTATGATTTTCTAGAGAATTAAAATTAAAGATTTACTTATGAATATTAATTATTAATCTGGCCCTTGCATTTGGAAACAAATTGCACCATCACGATATTGTTATATTGCGATCGCATTACTTCTATAACTGAACATATCAAAGATCCTCCTGCTATTCGACTTACTATATAATCAAATGCATAAATTAAATAATTTAATAAGATAAAATGTTAATACAAAAACTTGAAAGGATGATATTTTCTATAAAAATCTATGAAAATATTTTCAAAATTGGGAGGGTGGGTCAAAAGTTTTGTGGTCTGGCGGCGAATCGATGGCGTCGAAAGGGTGGCCGCTAAATGTCTAGGTTGGCTTTTCCTCAAGTATTTTAATTATTCTTATAGATTCTAAAATAGAATTCGATATATTATTTGGAGCAGCATATAAAGGTATCGAATTCTATTCTATCATAGATTCTAAAATAGAATTCAGATAAAAAAATATTTAGTTATTATTAAAGAGCTCTGGACATAATGTATTCGTCGCCGCCGTGACAATATAATAAAAATACAAGTGCTATAATTCACTCACCGACCGACACACTCACGTGATGCACACAACAATCTGTTCTGTAATCTATTTACCTTTGAATATTTATATTGTTTTTGTTATAATTGTGACGTGTGTGAATTATATAAAGCATAGATTACGCAGCCGACGTTTCGATTTATACGAGATTTCCGCCGCAATCCATTTTGGTTCGTTATACACTGTTCACTCGAAAATATTATTAAGTTCAAGAAAGTAAATTGCCATTAATATTTTATATTTTATACTGCTCAAATAGCCGGTAACCTTTATACAATGTGTAAGTGCTAATCGCCGAATTTTATTATTTATTTTGTTAAATAATCTCCAATTATTATTTATTATTTTTGTTACATTCATTATATTGTTTTTTGTTCTCGTGTTGAGTCAATTTTCGGTGACTTATACACAGGTAGCAGCTCGCCAGCCATGCTCTACAAATTGTGAGTTTTGAATTATTTATTTATTATTTATTATTATACATTATTATATTGTTGAGGCAGTAGGGTATATTTAAACTTTTTACTTACGTGTTACAGCTCAAATAGCTGCCTATATATTTATCATAATATTATATAATTTTATTGTTATTTATTATTAAATATTATAAATTATATTACTAGCTGTCCCGTCACGGCGTTGTCCGTGTAGTATATAGCTATATAAAAACCCCACTTTTACACCCATAGAGGCCTAATTTTGAAAAATCCTTTCAAAAAATATTAATAATGATATTTACAAATGATTCTAATGATTCTATACACATATTGTTATTAAAAATGATTCTTTAGTTATAATATAATTTGTGTAGTTAAACACGTTTATCGCATATCGATACGAAAAGAATTATTTTTCGATAACGGAATTCGTAAAATTGAGCTATTCGATTATTCGGTGTTTTCCATACAACTCTAACCTTAATAAAAAATGTGTTTTATTAGTTTGTAGTTTATAATTGTGGCGAGTATTCCTACGTCATAATTATAGCGGTTGCAGCCGGTGTTACGTTGACAAATTAACTGTCGTAGTGTCGTGTCGAAACAAAGATCTATTATATCAATATATCATTATTAAATATTTTCTAGCAGATCCCTTGCACTTCGTTGCCCTTTAAAAATGCCAACTCCATAATATGAGACTAGCTTGTGATAATGTGAGCAGTATATTATCAGGTAGGCTATCTACCTGCGGTGGATTGTGGATCCCTCTAGATGCACATTCTGTGTTTAATTAAATGTTTAATTTTAATTTTATTAATTATTTAGATTGCGTATATGTCGATGAGCGGCTATTAGTGCAACTCAGCCAGTCACCTTGTCAGGCAATGCACTAAAATCAAATTGCATGCATTCTTAAACCTGATATGCCCAATTAACCAATGGTGATAAACTTACATTGCCCACAAACAATTAAACATTGTACACAATGTTATACACTTCGACCTAACATATACATACATATACATACATTCCTCATACTCACAAGACAAATGTAACACCTACATGTAATGCCCACGTCTCCTCACTCCAGCCAAGTACGATCGAGCGTTCCGCGGAACGATACAAATGCTCTACTAGCGGTACTTTCGTAGCACCGTAGAACACAAAATCACAGACGCATCGTGATACCTTAACGTAACGTTCAACCGATTCACAATAATTAGTAAGGGATTACATCAGATTACTCTACATAAGGATTATACGAAATCGACCCGTCGACTGTTTTATGAGGATCTAATGCACGTCCAACGCCGGTCTACATCACGATACACTTTTTTTACAGTTCAAACTTTCAAAGGAGTATTTGTTGCTGTGCGTACGGGCGTAAATGAATATTGAAATACTTCAGCATACAATAATTCGATTAATTATTTCTTATTATTAACTTAAATTGTCTTGTTTTTCTTTTCATTCTCCTTATCTCCTTATTATATTCACACACACGATATACAATTCTGTGGCTATCATCGTATTATAGGATAATTATTATATTATAACTTTAGCATATCTTTATTATTAGATTATTCTTAGCTATAAGTATCATTATTAGTATACATTATCTATTTATTATTGATTTAGAACATAAGCATAGTTTTAAAACATTTATTATTAGATTATCATTAATTATAAGCAGTGGTCGAAGTGGGGGGGGGGGATACGTAGGGATGACATCCCTCTACTTTTTTGTATTTACATTTTTCATCCCTCTACTTATTTTGTCTAGAATAACGCATTCCTCCTAAGACTTGTGTTTTAAAATGAAATAATTATTATGATTTTTATATTTATACCTATGTATAAGAAAACTTTTTATTTTTCGTATAGGCCGTTTCGCAATCATATTATCTATACCCGTATTTAGAGCCACGGATTAAGAATTTACATAATGATAATATACCATATACCTTAGTCGTGTTTAGAGCTAATAACATAATATTTTAATATCACAAAATAATAACAATATTGATGATAATAAGTAGGGACGTAGCAACTAGCAATATGCTAAAATATCTAAACGTCATTTCTGACAATATTTTGTTGATAACTGATAAGTAGATGTGTATACGTGAACGTGAGTCGATCAATTTCTAAATTTAGCCCATGGATAGAATATTGGTTATGAGTGTAATGACCACAATTAAACATGTATACTTTTGATAATGATTATCAGATTATGATTTATGCGTGTCAGTATTCAGTAGGTAGTAATTGATTATACTAGACATTATTACAATACTACAATAGTATTAGTATTAGCACGTTAGTGTTCGACGCCAGTAGATATTCTCAAAGTTATAAGTATAGACTATTAGACTGTGGATAAATAAGTATATCTTAAGCATGTCTTTATTAAATTGGTTAAACAAAACAAACGTAAACCCAATCGACGAATCATTGATTTCTACTCAAGCAATAATGAAAGCATCATCTAATAAAGCTGAGACAGTGAGTACAGAATTAAATAGTAATGATAATAATATTAACGATTATCCAAGTGTCTGGACAAATGAAATGTTCTTAACATTTTATAATAAATATCCCTGGATAGTGGTAAAAGACCAAAAATTGGGCTGTAGTATATGCGTACAGGTTCAAAACCTTGCCACATATAAAACACAAGGGATTAGATTTGCTATTGAATGGACAGAGTGTAGTATACATACTTATGGAGCTAGTGATAAAGATAAAAGACAATCCTTAAGAAAAAAAATCCATAAGCATAAAATTAGTGAATGTCATAAAAGACGTGAACAAATTTTAAAAGCACAAGAAGAAAATATTTTACCAAAAGCTGTGTCAAGGGGGATTTCTGGTAAATTTGAGAGTACAATAAGAGTATTTAATACTGTATATAGTATTGTTAAAAAAACAAGACCATTTACTGATTTACCATTTGATATTCAACTTCAAAAGTTAAATGGATTGGATATGGGTCGCATTTTACACAGCGATCATGCTTGTGCTGATATTGCTAGCCATATAGCAATAGAAATGAAAGCAAAAGTTACAAATTTTATTGTCAAAAATAATTTTAAAATTGCAGTATTAATTGATGAAGCTACCTCAGTGTCGAAAAAGACTTGTCTGGTTGTTTGTATTAGAGCTTCCACAGATGTCAAAAATGAAACAGACCCAATAACATTTTTTTTAGATTTATTAGAATTAGAAAATACAAAATCTGAGACCATAGTTGTGCAACTTTTGTCATGTCTAAACAAACACAAATTTTCTCATGAATTCTTAATGCAACATTTTATTTGCTTTGCTTGTGACGGAGCTTCTAATATGATTGGAAGAAAATCTGGTGTGGGAAAACTTTTAACTGACAAATATCCAGATTTATTGGTCTGGCATTGCTCTAATCATAGACTTGAACTTGCTGTTGATGATGTAGTTAACGAGGTAGCTGGCATAAATCATTTCAAAATATTTTTTGATACTCTTTATGCATTATATAGTTCATCACCAAAAAACCAGTATGGTTTAAAGAGCTGTGCTAAAGAATTAGATTTACAATTTCTATCAATTGGTCGGATTTTAAATACAAGATGGGTAGCTTCAAGTTTGAGGTCAGTTAAAGCTGTTTGGAGAAACTATGAAGCACTTTATTTACATTTTGACAAATGTAGTTTGGATAGCTCGAGAACATCTAAAGAAAAAGCAACTTTTAAAGGTTTAAAACAGAAAATAACATCAACTGATTTTGTTTTAAATTTAGGTCTTCTATATGATGCTCTAACAGAACTATCAGACCTTTCATTAGAACTTCAAAAACGGTGTACAAAACTACCTGATGCTCATAACTTAATAAGAAGACAAATTATGATTTTTGAATCCATGTCTGGGAAGTGTAATGATGGTTTTTATAAAGAAGCTGAGAATTCTGAATGTAGCTTGACCTTTAAAAATATTGACCTTCATGAAAATAATAAAAATAAAATAAACTATAAACAATTTTATCGAAGCTTGGCTGATAATTTAAAATCCAGAATGTTAAACTTTACATCATCACATGTATCTTCAACATCTGATACATCAAATAAGTATGCTGAGTTTATTCAACTGCTAGAAGTTTTAAACCCACAAAAATGGCCTTTAGAATTGGATATATTATATGGAGAGAGAGCAATTAAGCAGCTTTCAAACATATTTAAAATAAATGAAAGAGATTCAGTCCGAGGTTTTCGTGAGTACATAGATAATAAATCTGTTGTACCAAATAACCTTAAGCCTTTAACTCAAGCTGTAAATACATTGGTAGTTTCTACTGCAGAATGTGAGAGGCTCTTTAGTGCCATGAACATTGTTCATAATGATATTCGAAATACATTAGAAGTTTCACGTGTATCTGATCTTTTGTGGATTAAATGTGTTGGTCCACCTTTGTGTGAATTTAATGCAAATACATATGTAGAGTCTTGGATTTCTAAAGGTAGATGATGTGCTGACCATACACAATGCATTTCAAAGCAAGAAATTAGATATAACACAGAATACAATAGTCTTTGGGAGCAATTAATGTAATCTACATATTCATTATTATAAGAGATTAAGTTTTTTTTTATATTTTTTGTCATATTACATATTATATTGTTAGTATTAATTACAATTTACAAATTTAACTATATAATCTAAAATTTCCACAGAAAAATATTATAAATAAAATATTTTATCAGTTTTTTTTTGAAAAATTTGAAAATATGTTATTTATTTGTTTAGTTTTAAAGATTATTTAGGATCGAAAAAGATTGTAGTATTCTGATGCATAAACAAAATGTGAACTATAAAAAAAAAAATACTATACAAGGTATAAAGAATATTATGAATGTTATGATGATATCAGGAAATCTGAATTGTAAGGCATCCCTCCACTTATCTTGAGCCATTTCGACCACTGATTATAAGCATAATTATTAATAATTAGTTATTATAGATTTTAAAAATAAGCATAATATTACACGCTCCTTTAACTTAAACTACATTCGAAAATCATATATATATATATATATAGCTATGTCATCACTGGGGCTTGGACGTTGTAGAAGTTGCATAGTATTTCATTGGTATACTCTCGAATTATAGCTGATCATGATAGAAATTTAACCTACTAATGAAAGTAAGTCTTTAGCTTTAAAATTTAAAATGCCTAATTAGCATTTTTTGTTAATTTAAGGTTAAAAATGCATAATCCTTAATTTAATAATTATATTATGCATATTTAATATTTTCCAAAAAATTGACCTTTTTCTTTGTTAATTAAGCTGTGCACTTTAAAATTAATATTGAATATAAGACTCAACATTATTTAATGTACCTACGAATATAGGGATTTATTGTTATCGTCGCAGTCGACTATTGACATTTAATGCCAACGGTGGCACAGTGCTAGTGCATATTTTAGTCTCTGTAGTACTAATATTCTGATGTACTAACTTTTCGAGTATAATTTTTCAGTTCAATAAAATGTCAAAATACAAACAGTCTTAGCCAAATATAAACCATTATAAATGTGTTTATCGATATTTTACATTTCTGTTAGTGCATTTTAAATTTCTTTTAGTCACCTAACCTAACCTGACCTATACGGCTGTACGTTTTTTTTAAGTGACGCAATTCACCTTCCGGGGTTTCTCACGATACCTCAAATAACTTATTATTATATTAGTAAAAAATGGACGATCCGATCCACGGTTTGGCAACCTCTGGTATACATATAATGAGTTTATTTTTCTACTTTTTGTCCCCTGACTTCTCAAACCGATATAATATGTATCATTTTCAAAATAAACCTTTGTTGCAATATGTACGACTGTACGTGCCCAGTTCATAACTATATGACCGTAACTGTTTTGAGGACGAAATTCACTGCATTGTACATAAAAAAAAAATGATTTTGAGTGAATGTATTTTGACCATGTTGTGTATGGATCAGAGCAGAGAGATTACAAACAGTGCACTAACATTATTTTAAACTATACAGTACTATTTATGTGCTAACCAGTTTGGTTCACACAAATTTATGTTAAACAAAAAATTAAAAACTGTTTAATATTTATAATAATAGGCCAATGAAGCAAATGAGGTATGGCAGCACATAATTAAAAAAAATGAACATAATTGTTCAATTATATTTAATCACGTAAGCCCAGAGGGCAGTTTGGGTCCTCTAGCTAGGCCCGTATGTTTGATTGTGTCTGATATTTTGTGTTTGTAATGACACACACACACACACATATAAGAAAATCAATAACCTAAGCTTAAATCATGCACATAATAACTTACAACAGGAAAAATATGCTACACTTTAAAATGATGACCGTCAGAATATAGTATCAAAATAATAATATCATAATTATTACTGGTTTGTAATATTATAATAATTACGGATCAAAAGTTGTAGGAGTTGCATGTTTTCTTACAGAACTTCAAACTATAACAGACCTTGCTAGAAGTTTGAGCTATACGGCGTCGAGTTTAAAAATTGGAAATTTAAAATGCATATATTGCATGTTTTGTCAATTTTAAGGGAAAAGAGCATATTTTTTGATTTTCATACTTATATTATGCATATTTAATATTTTCTAAAAAAAAGAACTTTTTCTAAAGCTGTGCATTTTAATAATAATATTCAATATAAGACTCAACATAATTTCATGTGTGGATGTGTATTGTTATCATCGCAGTTGATTAAATTTAACGACAACAGTGGCACTGTAAGATGTGCGTATAAAATCTTTATTGCACTAATATTTGGATGTACTAGATTTCCGAATATATTTTTAAGCTATTTATTCAGTTCAATCAAATGTATATATTTTAAGGATCTACAATTGTTCGTATTAGAATTACAACAAAATAGAAAATCACTACATGAGAAATCTAAGTGAATATCCAATGTTGTAAAAATGTCGACTTCAAACTCTCATAAAAATTGAATTTTACTTTTCCGTAGAAATTTTTTTTTTTGATAAAAGTAGACAAGCTTATATGGAACCTTGTATTCAGTTTTAAAATCTTATGTATAAAAAGAAATATTTTTATGAATTTCAAACTCACAATAATTTACAAATTTACAAATTTACATTTCGTGAATCACTAAATTCAAACACTCATAAAAAATTACTGTGGAAAAACACTGAAATTTTCTTATAATTTCTACTAACAACAACTTACGAGGAACTTTGTATTACATTTTCAAGTTAGTTGACTGACCGAAAGTATTTTTATCGACATTAGTTAAAAAAATAAATAATAATCGTAAATTGCATATGGCAATAAATAATTGAACACAAATCCAAAATATTTTGAAAATACGTACGTAGTATGAAAAGAGGTATTGTGGTTATGCACATGGGTATGTCGTAGGTATTGATGTTATCAAAGGTAGTTCTAATATGATTATTATTTTAATTGTTTTTGTAGGGTGTGCAGGATTATTCTAATACTTAAATATATATAATATATGTGTACTGTACACTTACCTCATTTGCAGTGATTGTTCTTCTGTGGTGTGTATATCCTCTCTGGTTGGTGTATAATATTCGATATCACAGCTACAATATATGTATTTTGATGAATATGAATTTTTCAGAAAATTTAATGCCTGACGCTCAGGGCCGGAGCGAGAACCAGTAGCGCCCCTGGAGAAAACGGTGCCGCTAGATACAATTTTTTTTCAACTACCATGCTCATTATTAAAAACTGTTTATTGTAGCACAAGTATATTATATTTATTTGATTATATAAATATTTTATATTATTATAAAAATGGCTCTATTATTTATTATTATATTAATTTACTATTTATATATTCTCTCTTATTCAATAATAATAACAGATTAAAACAAAAATGATATGTGTCAAGCAAACTTTTTTCAATGGACAAATTTGCCATACTTGTTAGTCGATTTAAAAATTAAGTAAATAAAAATTAAATTTTAAAAAGTTAAGTTAAAAAGTTAAAATTAACTTAACTTTAACTTTTTAACTAGTTTATTCTCAGGCTTGAATTTAAGTAACTGAGGTTACTTTAATTATACCGCTGATCTGGTACAGCTATCAAAAGTTCTCTTAGCACTTCTTGTGAGCACTGTTTATTTTGTCCATTTTTTTTCTGTCCATTTTGTATAAGCATATATCTAATTCGTATGTAGATGTATATTGTGCTACCCCATACATGGTACGGAAAATTGTGATCAATAATATCTGTTTTTAAATATTTAATATTACAAAAGTATTAGGATCAGTAATTATAAAATAATATACTAACAGTTTACAACATAACAAAATTTATTATTTTTACATTAAAAATACAATATAAACGTAATATGTGGTTATATATTTAAATTCGCAGCAATGTATGTTCTTAAATGGTTCGCCTTAAACAAAACAAAAAAACAAACATTTAAATTATAATTTTTAAATGCATAGGTGATGTATTTATAATTAAATAATTAGGTAATAAACTTTACCCAACTGAAAATCATACACCCCAGTACCCCACATCCACAATGCAAAATACTAATGAATAAATCTCATATAAGAAAGAAATCATTAATGTTTATATATTTTACAACTGTATAATATTATAACTTTTAATATTTTGTACCTACAAACATATAATTTATTCCCCCCCCCCCTATTGTTCCCACCGCTGAGATATACTGTGAACAAAAACCCACCGACAGTGCCTCGCACTGCAATTTTTTCGAATATCACCAAACATTGGCTCGCCAAAAAGGTAGCTTTTACGTCCAGCCTTTATCCACTCACTGGAAGTCCAAATCTATAATATTTTGTTTAAAACATATTGATTTAACATTTTTTTTATTTTATCAAACTAAATAATATAGTAAAATAATTAATACTTAATATGTTTTGTCATATAATGCATAATAGTTATGAGGAAATTAAAATCTAAGTGGATCGAAAAAAGTTTGTATGTAAGTACATTTGTTACCCGGAATAACTTTACGACTTTTATTAAACCTTTTTACGTTTTGTACTATGCACATAAAATTCTACAAGACAAAAATGCTTTTGGGCTAAAACGATCATAAAGTCTCACGTATACAAACATATTAATATAAATCAGGGCTTCAAAACGTTTTCATAACGTTACGAGTATAACGTTAAACGATTCAAAAAACGATTGAAATCGATAACTGATAACATATCGGTAAACGACAAACGATTGAAACGAATAACGGATAACATATCGGTAAACGATAAACGATTGAAACGGATAACGGATAACGGAACATAAACGATAAACGATTAAAATTAATATCGAATAACGCAACAAAAAACGATTAATGATTAAAAGTTGAATCATAACAAACATGTCAGACAACAAAGGAAATTACGAAAATATTAAAAACTATCTATAGAATATAATTAGAATTTAGTTAGTTTTGTAGAACTGTTGCTTGATAGGACTA